GTGGGACTGTTTGCCATTGACGCAGCATTACTTCCAACCAGGCTTCTCTCAGGTGACTCTAGGCTGTGCCAAGGTGGCAATTAAGGCTAACCAGAATGTTGGCCCAGCATAGCCCGCAACATATAGTGGAAGAAAAATAGTAAGACTAATGGAAAGAAAGAAAGAAAAAGGGAAGGAAAGTGGAAGGAAAGAAGGAAGGGAAAACTGTAGTGGAACTCTAGTAGAAGCATTGTGTTGAGGGTAAACACAGCTATTAGGATGAAATAGCTGTTTACATTGTGTCTAGGGTTAACAGCAGAATGAATCATTGTTTTCTAGAAGTATTTAGCCCAGGAAGAAATCATCCTAGAAAACAGTGATTGTTCTCTGTTGTTTACAGAGCTGTTTTTTCTGAGGCAGCTCTACAGTCTTTGCATGACGTTGGTCCCAAGATGGTCCTGGCACACCTGGAGCGTCCTGCACTATTGGGCACTGCAAACAGTGCACAGTAAGGACTAAAGTGTCAGGGGTGTGATGTTTTCCTTCGCAGAACATATAGATTAGATCAGGGGCTTTGATATGAGGAACTTGTTTTATCCAAAAAACAACTTATATTTAACAATCGATCAAATGTCTTTGCACAGCTATTTGGGGTTCCGTTCCACAGAGCCTGAATTCCATCTTGGAGTGTCCCTCTTTCTTTGATCATCCCCTGCAATACAGAACACCAACAGAAAAAAATGAGAGAAAAAAAAGAGAAGGAAGAAGACAGAGAGGGAAAGACAGAGGGATGGAGGAGTCTGAGATCAGCGGTGCCAGAGACATGGTAGATGTTTGGTTATAGCAGAGGGGAGGAGCAGAAAGGAGGCCAGGAGAAAGCATCCAGAAATGTCCTATTTAAACATCTATCTTGCATCAAATGTTTTATAAATTACTTTGGCTATTTGTATTTAATAGCCAGAAGGGAAAAGGTTAAGAGTGTTTCATTTTGACTGCAGTGGTGGCACAGGCCTTTAATCCCAGAATTATTCAGGAGGTGGAAGCAGGCGCATCTCTGTGAGTTCAGGGCCAGCCTGGTCTACAAAGTGAGTTCCAGGACAGTGAGGGGGGTAACACACAGAGAAAATTTGTCTCAAAAAACAAATAAACAAACAAACAAACAAAATACTTCCTTTGTGCAGTGAGGAAAAAAAGCCCCAAACCCCAGCAACATTAAGGAATTTTCTCAGGATCTCAGGAACTCTCAGGTTCTGAAAGTGAGGGGCCCCTGCTGTTCCTAGTAATCCGAGGTGGGAAGACATTCCTCAAGTCCCATGTGGCTACTAAGCAGCTGGGCTGCTTTACAGTCTCTTGTGGGTTGTGAGCAGACAGCTGCTTTTCAATTTCAATTTGATCATCAAATGCTCTTAAAAGCGTACTGAGGACCCATGCCAGTTAAAACTAAAGGAGAAGATGAAATTCTTGAACAGTTTGAATGAGAAGCAGAGAGGCTGGCCAGCCCACAAGACTCCAAGGACCCTGAAGCTGAGGCTCATTCTTAGCTTGCCTGGGGAGGAGGCGGGGTCAGTTTCCATGGTGCTAATAAACTAACACTCCAGCCAGCTAAGGTGGCCTGCAATACAGGGCTCCCAGGAGAGACAGTAAGTATTTTTAATCTTAGTTCTTTTTTTATTGGTTAATCCTACTTAAGTATGTACTACTGATTATTTTCTAAGTCAAGGTATGTCTCCCTGAAGGATTGGGGTTCAGATATACTTGATCAAATTCATAAACATTCATGCAAAGCGAAGTTTGCTAAATTTCAGTAGTTAGGTTAGTGAATTCAGACCAATTTGCATACCAAAAGACTGGGTGTGTTTAAAGCATCCAATTCGGTGGGTGTTAGGATTTCAGAGCCAGGAAACCATGGCTGCCGCAGTCTGATTTTCCCAGGTTTCTGGTCCCCAAATGAATTCATGGATTCTGATGCAAATTACATGAAGGTTTTTAATATACAAACTCGAGTTTGGACCACACCTCCAGCACACCAACATAGTGAGTGAGGGAAGAGCAGCCCGAGTCCAGGGAAGGGGAGAACTTTTAAAGGGGAAACCCCGTAATCAGGGGATGACAGGAGGGCATAGGATAAGGGAGTGTCTGAAACCATTGGTCAAGTTTTGGGTACAAAAACCTGAACAAAGGGCCATTAATAACATCTTTATGAACAGGATGCCTCATGAACAGGATGATCTGGACCTCATTAAATTTTATGGCCCTGCTCCCTGACTTTCTAATTGGCTATTTTCAGGGTTTCTGTTCAAATCCCCGCTATCGCTGCACGTTTCTGGGGCTGAGACCAGCCCCCACTCATTATATGACTTAAGATGAAGCCCCTTCTTTAAATCCAAGTTTGTAAAGTCGGGTCCTCACACAAGGAGTCTGCCACCCTACCTCCACAGGAAATCCTGTGCTTTGCTGGCTCTCACTGCTCACACCCACCTACCCCAAACTGGTCCTAGGCTGTTATTGATTTACAGTTGACTCTAGAGATTTGCCTGCGCCCATGGAAGCATGTGTGTGACTTTGTTCATATAGCATGCTTCATGACTCGTCCATAGAACATCTTATCACTCTTCATTTGTTCTGTGTATGTGTGAACGTGTGTGTGGTAGACAGAGGTCAACCTTGTGTCTTGTTTCTCAGGAGCCATGCACCGTGTTTCTTGAGACAGGGTGTCATTGGCCTGTAGCTCACTGAGTAGGTCAGCTTGGTAGGCCAGGGAGCCACAGAGATCTGCCTGTCTCCTCCTCTCCAGGTAGAATTAGATGTGTGCTCCCACAGGGATGGAGGGTGGACACAGAAGGACTGGGAAATGAGTGGGGTTGCAATGCATGATGTGAAATCCCCAAAGAATCAATTAAAAAATTATGTTAAAAACAAAGAATAGGCCGGGCAGTGGTGGTGCATGGCTTTAATCCCAGCACTTGGGAGACAGAGGCAGGTGTATCTCTGTGAGTTCAAGGCCAGCCTTGTCTACAGTGAGTTTTTAGGATAGCCAGGGCTTCACAGAGAAACCCTGTCATACACACACACACACACACACACACACACACACACACACACACAATGTTAATTTATTGTTGATCAAATCCTCTAGGGTAAGGGTTTCCTGTTAAAGTAAATGTTTATTTTTTAATTTTAGTTAATTTTGTATATATGTATGTCTGTGTATTTGTGCACATGTGTGTGAAGCAAAGGTCAGCGCTGGGTGTCTTCCTCAACTGCTCTCCACATGATCCTTTTGATCCAGGGTCTTCACTGAACTTCTGGTCATCTGTTCTTATTTACAGGCAGGAGGCAGAGAAGGGCTGAGGAGCAGGATGTGCATCCACCTTTGATGTAAACTCACTGCCCCAGTTGAGCAAACCAGACATCTGAAAATCTGCTAGCTAGGGACTCACAGACAGAGAGCCTCAGCAGGGAGCCCGGAGCTATCTTGTGAAAGGTGCTTCCTGTAAGTGTGGTGAATAGCAGTTTGCCGAGAGCATCTTTTTTTGTGTGTCCAGCCATCACCAGTTTTCTTTATCATCACCTTTAAACCACAGGGTGACAGAAGAGTGGACAAGGCTGGTGACATTTTAATACTAAAATAAAAACAGTTTTCACTTCATAAGTCCGCTAAACTAAAAATCAGTGGCCCCTAAGGGTTTGTAGATTACAGTGTGAGCACTGGTGTTTCATGGCAAAGGATTTTGTGTGTGTGGATGTCTGTGTGAGTGTGTGGGAGGAGAGCTGTGTGTGCATTTGTGAGTGTGTGTGTGTGTGTGTGTGTGTGTGCACGTGAGCGTGTGGGAGGAGAGGTGTGAGTGGTGTGGGCTTGTGTGTGTAGAGTTCAGAGGACAACTTTGGGTCCTGGTTCTCACATCCTCCCGTCTTCTGTTTGAGATAGGGTCTCTCATTGACTGGAACATCACCACATAGTTCAGACCACCTAGGAAGAGCGCCTCGGAAGACCCACCTGTTTCTCTTTCCCATGCTGGGATTACAACCATGAGCCACCACACCCAGCTTTTTATGTGGGTGCTGGGGACCTGAATTTAGGTTCTCACTCTTGAGAGCCTCTCCCCAGACACCTCATGGCATACCCCTCATACCTGTTTTTAGCTGTTTTATTTGTGTGTTGGCAAGCTGTATTCCTTGTGTGGTGCGGCAATAGCTTTTACTTTCCACGGAGCACTTATGACTTATGCTGGGTCCAGTCATCCAGTCCAAACTGTTTATGCAGATTGTTGCTGTCCCCATAGCATCTCTGGATGCTTCCACACTAGAAAGACAAGATGCAGACCTCCACAACTGTTGTAGCATATTATTTTAACGTGTGTTACTTCCGTTTACGCTGCATTTGTTTAACTCTGTGAAGCTGTGATTCTTTGTCTGTCTAAAACACCTGATGCTCTAATAAAGAACCGAATGACCAATAGCAAGGCAGAAGCAGAAGGTGAGGGGGGCTGGCAGGCAAAGAGCTGAGGAAGAAGAGGAGCCATGAGAACAAGGGGAGCACCCAGCTACAGAGCAAGTCACGGAGAAAGAATTAAAGAAGGGCATACAGGAATAGAGAAAGATAAAAGCCCAGAGGCAAAAGGTAGATGGGTTAATTTGAGAAAAGCTGGCAAGAAACAAGCCAAGCTAAGGCTGGCTTGACTAAGAATAAGCCTCTGGGTGTAACTTATTTGGGAGCTCGGAGGTGGGCCCCTCAAAAAGCCAAAAGAGTAAAATATCACACAACACACAACCAACTCAAGGTAGCATAAAACTGAGAGAGCTCTGAAGTAGGGGTAGGAAGTCACCCTGGAAGATGGGTGGAGCGCACACTGTAAAGTGCCAGAGATAATTCTGGGTACAGTGGAGGCCATCGGTAGTTTTGGGGTTACAGAATGGTGGATCTTATCCACAGTTGTTGCTGTCCACTGTTACTAAGAGTTAGGTACCCACACAGCAGAACACACAACACACACACACACACACACACACACACACACACACACACAAGTTTATATATGCAAATCCACAAAACAGGAAAGCAGAAACCTGTTTCTGAGGCAGAAATCCAGGGAGCCCTTGCTAGGGGTGAAGGGCTGTATGGGAGCCCCTAAATGGCCTGTATCTCAGGCAGATTCTGACATGGAATTGTCGAAAATGTCAGACATGACAAAGCTCCATCAGGCCGTGGCAGCAGGCGACTACATTTCAGTGAAGAAGATTTTGAAGAAAGGTCTCTGTGACCCAAACTACAAGGATGCGGACTGGAGCGACAGGACGCCACTCCACTGGGCGGCGATCAGAGGTGAGTAGACAGTGCCTCTGCAGATCCTTTCCTCCCACTTCACCTTCACGGGGCCCTCAGTCTGTGTCAGAGAGTAAGGCGTACATTTCTTTAGTGCTAGATGGAGCAGTCCGACCCTGGCACTAACCCTTAGTAGTGATAGCACCGGGATCCTGTTATTTAGTGTTGGGGGGAACTCATTTTTCTATATTATGGGGGCAATAAGGCTGTACTGGAGCTCTTTGATGTGGAGTTAGTTAATGTGTACCATGATGAGACTGCAAATATGCTCTCAATTAGTCCTCTGTGGTCATGACTTCATGAATGGAGCATCATGAAGATCAATCCATCCCCACTCCCTCCCAGCACATCCCAGTTATACGACAGGAAGTTAGTGACAAAGCTCGGTCTTTGGAAATTGGGGCTGGACAGATGGCTCAGCAGTTAGGAGTGCTCGCTGCTCTTGTAAGGACCAAGTTTGCTTCCTAGCACCCACACCCGCCTCGAACTCCAGCTGCAGGAGGACCAACAGCTTCTGCCTTTAGGGAGCCTACACATGTGCATGAGAACAAGGACATACAAGCACACACATAAATTCAAATAAACTAAATTCTTTTAAGAAAAGTCTTTAGTGTCGGGCAGTGGTGGTGCACAGCTTTAATCCCAGCACTTGGGAGGCAGAGACAAAGAGTTCAAAGCCAGTCTGGTCTACAGAGTGAGTTCCAGGACAGACTCCAAAGCTACACAGAGAAACCCTGTCTCGACCCTTCCCCCGCCCAAAGGAGAGTCTTTAGAAATAAACATCACAAAATGATGTTAAGCAAAGCAGTACTATAGGCAACTTTGGTTCCAATTATTTGCCTTTCTTGTGGGGAGGGGGATTAGGCAGCAAGTAAGACCAACTGCAAACAACTTTGCAAAAAATCTATGTAGGGAGCATTGGTAACGATACCAGTTGACCACTGAGGGAACACTTGTGTGCTGGGCATTGTTCTGGGTGTTTCACGTCTGGGAATTTGTTTGTCCTCCTCAAGGATTCAGTGAGATTAATGGTATAGTCCTGATCTGCAAAGGAAGGCACTGAGCATTGGTTTTCTTATCCAAGGTTTTACTTGTTAGTGAATCTGTTTGATTAGAAAACCTGTGTTCTTGAACTGTGTCGGCTGTATTCTAAAGTTGCTCAAATTACTAATTGTAATGAATTTTGCTAGTATGTGTTTGTACATGATGTGTCTAGGTAGGGGTGTGTGTGGATGTGTGTGTGTGTGTGAGATGGTGTGGAGGTCATATGGAGGTCAGAGGACAATTTTCAGGAGTTGCATTTCTTCAACATTATATAACCTCTGACTCAGGTCATCAGATTTGAATGATGAGCTATCTCATTGACCCAAGTCTTAAAGTATTTTTTATTTAAAAAATTAAATTAATTTCTTTTTAATGCTTAATAATATTTATTATTTAACTATATCTTGATCATATTATTCCTCTTCCCCAAGTCCTTCCATATCTTTCCTTCTTTAATCCCAGCTCTTGGGTGGCAGAGGCAAACTAATCTCTGAGTTAAAGGTCTGTAGAGAGAGTTCTAGGACAGCCAGGGCTACACAGAGAAACCCTGTCTCAAAAAACCAAACAAACAAAACCAATACAACAATAATTCCCAAAACCAAGAAAGCAAATACAACCACACCCAAAAAGAAAAATTAAGAACAACAAACTGTAAACAAATAAAAGTATACATGTACGTGCATGCATGCACACGTGTGCACATGCACAGACATACACCTGTGGACTCCATTATATGTTGGTCAACTACTGAATACAAAGCCTGTCCTGGAGTGGTTGATATACCCAGTATCATTCTTTTGGAGAAAACAGACTTTTCTCTCCCCTATAGTATACTTTATTAATTTGTGACACTTATTAACTTTTTTTCTAGATCCCTGGGCTATCTACTCTCAGGTTCTTGGGCACCCAGGCAGTGTCTGGTATGGGCTCATTCTCATGGTGTGGGCTTTAAATCAAATCAGATATTGGTTGGTTACTCCCACAAGCTTTGTGCCACCGTTGCCTTAGCTTATCTTTCAGACAGGACACCATTGTAGGTCACGGGTTTGTGGCTGCCTTGGTGTTCATGTCTCTCTTTTGAGAGCATGAAGAACACCTTCCTGTACCAAAGAACATAGGGATGAAGGCTCTGTGTAGGCACTGGCTCCATGTCTCCATCTTCAATGAGTTGTGTAGGTGCTGTCTTTACCAATGGGGCCTTGCTGTCAGTTTGTGGAGAACAACCTATAATCTTGGTAGTAGCCTGGATTGTTTGGGGATTCCCGTGGACCCCCTTTGACCAACAACTCAATTAGATTAACCCAATACTGGTACTAAAAGCTTTGTCTGGTGATGAGATGGCCAATTAGAACTTTAACCCCCCTTCATTATTTAGCAATTTCATTGAGATCATCTTCATAGATGTATTTATTTTAGGATATTTCTACCGTATTTAGGTTTTCATATGCGGTAGTTTAAATGAAAATGGCCCCATGGGCTCATAGGGAGTGGCACTATTAGGAGTTGTGGTGTTGGAATAGGTATTTGTTGGAGGAAGTGGGTTACTGATGGGGGGCTTTAAAGTCTCAGGAGCTTAAGCCAGGCCTGGTGACTCAATCCTTTCCTGCTGCCTGTGGGTCTCTCAGCTCCCTCACCAGCGACATGTCGGCCAGCATGCCACCACAATTCCCACCATGATTATAAAGGACTAAACCTCTGAACTGTAAGCTAGACCCAACTAAATGGTTGTTGGTTTTTTTTTTTTTTTTTTTTTAAAGAGTGGATCATGCTGTGGTCACATCATTGGTGTGGTCATGGTGGCTCTTCGCAGCAATAACACCCAAACCAAGACACCATTCTACCTCTTAAGTGCCCCTTAATTTTAGCTCTCTCTCACTGTTTTCCTCCCATAACCCTTTCTCCTTTCCCCTCCCCACTTGATCCTCCCATTCTAGCCCCCCCCATATCCATCCATCTATAACTGTCTAGTTTATTTCCCGTTCCTAATGAGAGCTATCTGTTCCCTTTTGTCCCTTCCTTACTCTATAGCTAACCCCTGTGGTTCTATAGATTGTAGCTTGGTTATCACTAACTTCATAACTGATAACCACGTATAACTGAATATATGCCACATTCATCTTTGTGAGTCTGGGATCTTGCACTCGGGATGATTTTCTTCTAGTTCCATCCATTAGCCTGAACATTCCACGATGTCATCTTTTAACAGCTGGGTAACATTCCATTGTGTAAATGTCTCATATTTCTTTTATCCATTCTTCTGTTGAGGGACATCTAGGTTGTTTCCGATGTTTGGCCATTTATGAATGGAGCAGAACATTCAAGACCCATTTGGGGTATAGACTAAGTTCAAGGCCAGTCTTGGCAACTTCCCTTACTCTCTCTCAAAATAAAAAGTAAGGAGAGTTCTAAGGACTATAACTCAGGATAGAGACCTTGTATATGGCATGTGGGAACCTATTCATTCCCAGAAAAATGTACAAAATAAATAATTAAAACAAACAAAGAATCTATTGTAGCTGTAGAAGCAGTGAGATTTGCTAGTGCATAGATAGGAAGGACTCAAGTAAGACCTGAACAAGGAAGGACTGTTCTAGAAAGAATACAGGAAGTTCTTAGAGGGCTCAGGTCTCCGTGGAAGGAGGATGGGAAACTGTCTCCCAGGAAGAAGGATAAAAAGGAAGGGGTATGTTGATAACAAGGCAGAGGTACCTCAAAGGCCCACCTCCTCCTGCATCTGTACTGTAGGCTGCTCCTGGTCTCAGGCCACGGAGGACATTTGTATCTTAACTCCACATCCTTTCTCCATGGTGTGTCTAAGGCCAAATGGAGGTGCTACATCTCCTGATACAATATGGAGCCAGACCCTGCTTGGTAACCGACGTGGGCTGGACCGCAGCTCACTTTGCGGCTGAGTCCGGCCATCTGAACGTCCTCAAGACTCTGCACGCACTGCCTGCTGCCATTGATGCTGCCGACTTCTTCGGAGATACACCCAAGAGGATCGCGCAGATCTACGGGCAGAAAGCCTGTGTGGACTTCCTGGAGAAGTGAGTACTGAAAACGAAACAAAGAGATATAACCCAGTGGTTCTCAACCTTCCTAATGCTTTGATTCTTTAATACAGTTCCTCATGTGGTGGTGACCCCCAACCCTAAAATTCTTCATTACTACTTCATAACTGTAACTTTGCAACTATTATAAACTGTTATATAAATATCTGATATGCAGGATACGTGACCCCAAAAGCGTCATGATCTACAGCTTGAGAAACACTGGACCAATTGACCGGAATCATAATTTTTTAGAAGATTATATACTTTTATGTGTATGAGTATTTTGCCTGGGTGTATGTATGTGCACTGTGTGAAGGCAAAAGTGGGTACCCGATCCCCTGGAACTGGAGCTACCAACTGCTGTAAGCAGCCATATGGGCTTCTAGAGGCACTGCTTTTAACAGGATGAATGATCTTTTTAGTCCCTATAATAAGTTTCAAAATTGGTTTTATGATTTTTTTTGTAAATTAATAAGCAACTTGAAAGTGAAAAGTACATTGACTTTTCTTGCTTTCAGTCATACAAGAATTATCTCTAATAAGGACTGGACATTAAGTCTGGGCCACGGGCTAAGCTTCATGGCCACTCTCAGGTTTCTGAAAGGTACTCCAGCTAGCTGTGTGCTTCTGTAGAGATAAACCAGCCGCCTGACCCTCAGTTTCTTCACAGTGCAGCAGGGGCTGCGGAGATGGTTCAGGCAGGGAGGTGCTTGCCACACAAACAAGAGGACCTGAGATCGGATCATCAGGACCCAGGTAAAACTAGTCAAGGTGGCCTCATTGGTAGCTCCAGTGTGAGCATTCAGAGACCAAAGGATCCCAGGACAGCCAATCTAAGCAGAACTGCAAGCTGTAAATGCAGTGAGACGCCCTGTATCAAAACCCAGGGAGACGATTCACTTCATTGGCCTCCTGCCTCTGTATGCACCTGCACACACAAGCACACAAACACACACAGATACCACACACACCATGAGGCAAATGAATTTAGACTTCTGTTTTTAACACCTGTCTCCATTCATGTATGACTCCCCCGGCATGACTAGACCTTGTCAAACATTTATTCACTTATTTATTAAGTTAAGCAGTTGAATATAATTGAGTGCTAATTCTATTCTCTGCAGTTATAGCCCTGAGAGGAATGGAAATGAGATGTAAGATTCTATAATTTGGGTCAACAAGGGATTCATACAAGGCGACGTTGAATAGCCTGCTCTGACCATGGTTGCATGGGAAGGAGATGAGATGGACAGAAGCCCTAGAAGTAATGCCAGTTTATGGTAGAGAACAGTGACACGGGGCTGTCTCCTGTGAGCTTCAAATGTGTTACTGTCAAAATGTTAAATTAGGACAGGGTGGCTGCTTAGGCCTACGGTGGCAGCTGCTCAAGAGGCTGAGACACGGAAATTGCCAATGTGGGGCCTGCCTGACCTAGCATCCCCAGCCGTGGATGGATCTCTTGATTAAACCGGATTTCAGCACCAGATCTATAAAGTGAGGACAGAACTACTCCAAGGTATGGTTGGAGAGAAGGTTTTTATTGTGGATCTGAGGGAGAGTATAGCCAGAGGCATTCCAATGCAAAGGAGTAGACTAAACATGGCCAGGAGAGTGGACTGGGCCATGAGAAAAAAGTGAGAGAGAAAGAGAGGGGAGAGAAACAGTAAAGAGGAGAGAGGTTCAAGAGGATCAAGAGCCAGCAGTGATCCAAGAGACAACACGGCTGGAATCGCAGGCTATATAGGAATGAGAAACTGGGTGAAAGGATGCCCTTGAGCTGGAGAAGTTTAGGGTAGGGGTGGGGTGAGAAGGGCTGAGAAACTCCAGAATGCCAGCATGGACTTTGTAACAAGTATTTATAATGTTGAGAGAGCCTGGAGACCATGCTATTTGGTATGCTAACCACAGTTAGCCATTTGTCCCAGTTTGGTTTTTGGTTTGTTTATTTTTTGTTTTGTTTTTCTTTGGGGTGGGGGTGGGGCTGGGGCTGGGGCTGCCATTTCTGCACTCTCTACTCCTGGGCTTTGACTCTCTACTCCTAGGCTTGATGTAAATATTCAGAAACAAGTAAATGAGCGTTGGCAGGGAACTAGAGACATCTGCTTCTATCTAAGGCCACCTCAGCTGTCTCTGAGACGGCAGGAAGGAGCCTGCTTTTTAACAGCTCCCCATCGTTGTACTTCCAGGCCTTACAAATCCCCACATCAGCTCACTCTGGCCTTCCCATCTTTCTGTGTCATGGTGTTCCTCCAGCTAGAGCAGTGGTTCTTACCCTTCCTAATGCTGTGGCCTTTAAATGCTGCTCCTCATGTTGTGGTGACCCAACCACAAGATTATTTTTGTTGCTACTTCATAACAGTAATTTTCCTACATTATGAATTGGAATGTAGATATCTTAAGTCTTAGGCAACTCCTATGAAAGTGTTGTTCAGCCCCTCAACGGGTCACAACCCACAGATTAAGGACCACTGATCTAAAATCTTCATATCTTCTATGTTATTCTTTACTTAGTCTTCACTTCCTCCTGTATTGTTCGTTGTTTCTACCCCTTTCCCCCTCCTTTTTGGTCTGTGAACACGTTTAAGTAGGCCTTATTAAACAATTTAACTTCTCCCCTAGGGCCCTGAACTACTCCAGAGTTCATCTATGGAACTGGTCCTCCTTCCTCATCTCTCGCTCCCCCTTTGGAGATCTTTCCCATCTTTGTATGGGTACATTTCTCATACAAGTAACCATAAAGGTCCTGTTGCTAATACAATGTTCCCTTCTCCATTCGTAATCTTTCATGTATTTCCCTTCCTCTTCTTCCCTCCCTCCCTCCCTCCCTCCCTCCCTTCCCTTCCCTTCTTTTTTCCTCCCTTAGTTCTCCTTCCTCCCTCCCTCCTTTCTTCCCTTCTTTTCTCCTTCCTTAGCTCCCCTTTCTCCCTCCCTCCCTTCCCTTCCCTTCCCTTCCCTTCCCTTCTTTTTTCCTCCCTTAGTTCTCCTTCCTCCCTCCCTCCTTTCTTCCCTTCTTTTCTCCTTCCTTAGCTCCCCTTTCTTCCTCCCTCCCTTCCATCTTCCCTCCCTTCCTTCCCCTCCCTCCCTCCCTTCGTTTCCCTCCCTCCCTTCCATCCTCCCTCCCTCCCTTCCTTTCCCTCCCTCCCTCCTTTCCTTCCCCTCCCTCCCTTCCATCCTCCCTCCCTCCCTTCTGTCCCTTCCATCTTGTCACAGCCTCACTCAGCTTGGTGTCCCTTTCCCAGGGGCTAGTATTAGAGCCAGGCACCATCACACCCAGGTTCTCGGTATTTATACTTATGTGCCTTTCAAATGCTAGAATTCCCCAGAGTCTTGTCCTTGACTTTCTATGGATTTTTTTTTTCTGAGCAATACCCCATCCTTAGTGACCAGATGCACACGACATTTGGTCCGGCATAATGAAAATGCAGCGGGCACTGCCGTGGACATCAGGCAGGCAATGCTGAGCAGACAAAAACATCAGCTGCATTATTTGTGAATCCCACCTTCTCATCATTTCCCACCAGAAACTTCCTCCCCTTCTGATGTTAGAGTTGGAGGGAAGAATTCAGGATGTAGGTATACTTAGTCTGGTCCTGCAAATACAGCGGTGCCCTGGCAGAGGAAGGAGAGAGAAAGCCTGCTCGTTTGGGTGCAGCTACCATGTTGGAAATGTGTATAGGTAGAATGTACTTGAGAAGAAGGGGAGGGAGTGTGGAGGGAGGAGTGCCCTGGCCGACTGGGTGATTACTGCCAGGACTTGCAGGCTAAAGTGGGCGGGCCATAGTTGGGCAAGAAGCCAATGCTGAACCCATCTTGGGATGGATGAGCTAGCAAAGTTGCTCACACAATAGAGGATGCGGCAGTGTGTATCCTGTCGTGGGATTAGAGGGTTAGTGGGATTAGACAAGACCACTGGGTTCCTTCACAGTTCACATTGTGAGAAGGTGTGCTCTGAGGTTATTTTTACTTAATTTACCTAGACATACAGTCTATGCAATTAACATTTTTCTTCTTGCACTTCCAATTTACTTGATTGATTGATTGATTGATTGATTGATTGAGATGGGGTTTAACTCTGAAGCCCAGACTGGCTTGGAACTCACTGTACAACAGAGGCTGGCCTTGAACCTGCAGCAATCCTGCCGCCTCATTCTCCTGGGTGCTGGAATTGCACATGTGCTGTTGGGAGCAATGAGAGCCCAGATCCTGAATTTCTTGTAAACAACTTGTTTTCCCCTGATCTGGGTGCCTACAGCTGCTCTGAGCACTAGACCTTCAGGAGTTCCTGATGGCAGGAGAGTGGTTTCTGGTGGGTTTGGCTGGGGCGTGGCTATCTCTATATAATCTGTCCCTGAACACAATAAAGGGGGCATTCTTGGGGAATTCAAGGATGATCCGTGTCTCTGTCTGTCTGTGTTTGTGTATTTTAACCTCCAGCCCCCTTGCCCGAAGCTCAAGAACTGGGTAATAGCGCACTGAACGCAGACACGGGGGTGCGGTGGGCGGCAACGTGCCAACCTACACTTTAAAATTTCAAACAACGAACATGTGTGTCTTGCTTTTATAGTCGGAAAAATAGAATTAAAAGGAACAACTTTCCCGTGTCATGAAGACTGTTCTGGAAATGTGGGCACTTTAACAGTGAGCAGCCCCTCCTCCCAGCTGTCTTTGAGTCGGAGATTTATCACACTCAGGCCGTACCAACCTTTTCCATCTTCGGGTAGTTCCTCTGGGGTCTGAGACCCAAGCTTTAGAAGGTTTAGAATGTAGAGTGTGCACTTGGACATATATGAATTTGGCCTCCTTGCGTCTCAATTAGACCATGAATGACCTGCTCTGTGTGTAGTGCTCAGGAAGAAGGATCAGTGCCAACGCTGGCCAGGCTCCTTCTCACACATTCACAGTCTGTTCTCTTTGTAGAGCAGAACCAGAATGCCGGGACCACCGCCAGAGAGGCCTGTTGCTCGATGAACAGGACCCAGATTGGGACCTCAAGAAAAAGGAGCTGGAGCTGTCTCTTCCCGCCCCGGATCCAAACACCAACAGAAAGAATAAGAAAATCCGAGGCTCCACCAAGCTCAGCCATTCCAAGGCCTGGAGGTTATGAGAAGGGAAGCCTGGGGACAGACTCAGGCAGACCTAGGACCCAGCACGGAGCCAGAGTTGTTGCTAGGCTTCCTCGTCTTCACGGGATTTGTCTTCACTGGATTTGACCCAGTCACCCTTACCCAGGCTTCTACAGAAAGTCACAGCAAACCATTCAGTTGGAAAGTCTTTCTGCAGTGTTCTATCAGAGCCAATGTCTCAGTGGCAACCCAGAAGTTTGACCCTGAGTGGACCTAGCAGCCTGCAGCCTACAGCCAACAGCTGCTTGCATTTTGTTTAAGTGGAGTTTCAGCATGCCCCGCCCCTTACCTACTGACATCCCACATAGTTACAGAATGTTCAAGATCAAAGAAAGAGCTCTTCCAATGTAATTGATTAGTCTGGGGCAGAAAAAAAAAAAGTGAAATTAAAAACAAAACAAAACTCTTTAAAACTTCCCAGTATGATGAATTCAATTCATGAGTAAAATTATTTTTGGTCACAAAGACTAAGTAAAAGCAAACGCTCTCACAATGTTTAGCATTTTTTTTCTTTTTTTCTTTGTGGGAGCCCACAGTGCCAGCATTGGCAAATTTCCCTATCATCCACCCACCTAGGAGCAATGGTATGTGCGTGCGATGGACCCACTTGGTGTGAGACAACTGGAAAGCCTGGCATGAAGGGACTCTGCCCCACCTAACTGAGCATGGGCAGAAAATGACGAAACATGGCTTTGTTGGTCTAGTTTTCCAGTTGTAGAATTCACAAAAGTTAGACCAGGTATTTCCACGAAATGTATAGCATCTATCGAAGTTTTGAAGACAGCACAAGAAAAAGTTAATTGCCTTGTTATCAGCTTTTAATATTGATTTGCTGAAATATGTCAGATGTTTTAATGCCGAGTAAAGATACTATTACAATTAATTTTACTATCTACTTTTTATTTTTACTTGTTTCTAAGTGTGAAATTATATGGTGTGTTGCGAGCCGTTGGGTTTCAACTCCAGGTTCTTTGTGAGTAGTGCTATAAGGACTCAGTGCCCTTTTCCCCAGAGAGTGATGAGTAACCAGGCCAAGCAAGAGAATTGTCTTTATACTGATTCTTTACTAGCAACTTCAATATCCAATGCATCCATGGGGTTTACAATCTTAACACACAAACAATTCAGTATCACAATTATCAATCCTACTAATCCTAATAGATAAAAGCAATTTCTAACTTCCATTTGACTTATCAATTATCTATAAAACACTTTGTAACCTCAATAGAACTTATCAATGAACATTTCCTAATCTTATCAATTATCCATAAAATAATTCGTAACCTTAATACAACTTATCAATTAATAATTGCTAATCTTATCAATTATCCATAAAATATCTCTTAACGTTTCACCCACTAAACACATGCATAACATTTCACACACCAAACATACATATTAACACATCTAGGTTCTCCTCTTAACATTCACACACACATTAAATAGCATCATACAACCTGATATTCTTTTGTAGTCCTGAAAAGGACTTTTGGGTTTCTTCAGGCTGGATGCCCGATTGCACTCCCCTTAGTCTGCGTTGGGGAGATACGGCCTTAGGCTGCTCTTAGGCTGGTACCGGGTGCTGGATCAACTCTTGACCGCGTAGCCTGTGGTCTGGTGCTAGGAATACAGGGCCTTTGGACTCTGCTTTCGGGCGACAGAGTATCGGGAGACAAGGCTTTTGTAGGATCTGCTATGAGGTTTCAGCAGTGTACCAGGGCCATCTTGATGGTGAGATGACTGTCTTTCTTTTGCCTCCCTTTTATATATACGTTAGTAAACAACTTGTTTACTTGACTTCCAACAGCCAGATGTCCTAGGATATCGATATCCACTGGGCACTGAGGGGTGGGGTCCCTCTCATGTCCATGTTTCTGGTAAACATGTTTACTCCAAGTCTGTATCGACTGGGCACAGAAGGGTGAGGCCCCTCTTGTGTCTTACTGAAAAACATGTTTACCTCAAAATGACAAGGGTATTTTTCCTACATGTTTTTCTTAACATTTTCTCTTAGTAATTTTCCACACCACACACAGAAGAAATGCTTTTACATTACACCAAGTTGCTCTCGTTCTTATTCTATAAATTTCCTGCTCTATCTACACTACAGATTTCCCTCTTTATTTATTCATTCAGAGGGATCTGTTTCCATGCTCATTACAATGGTGGGGTTTTTTTTTTTGCATTTATCACATTGATTTTTGGGGGAGCATTGAACATGTGTGTGTGTGTGTGTGTGTGTGTGTGTGTGTGTGTATGCTCTTGGGTGCCAGAGAACAACTTGTGGGAGTCCATCGTCTCTCTCCACTCTCTCCACTCTCCATCATCTGGGTCCTGGAAATTGTAGGGGCCAGCCATGATAAGCTAAGTCTGGGCAGGTCACCCCCAAAAAGCTCTTTACTTCCAACCATTATCACCTGGGACTCTGGCCACCAATGAATTTAAATGGAGTCTGGAGTCTCAATAGTTTACCCTGAGACAATGCCTAGCTGCAAGAGGAACCACAGGCTGAGATTGCCTGACCCTACCCAAGAGCAGACCATTCAAAGGAAATGCCTGGTATTCTAAGAGCTATAGCTAGAGACACCTCCCAGCGCACCTCAACAGGACACTCCTAGACAAATGTCAGCCAATCAGGGGCCCTAAACCTCAGAGACCCCTCACCCCCACCTCTACTACTATAAAACCCTTTCTAATTGAGCTAGGGACTCTCTGGATATTCCAGTATGTTGGACATGCGGAGAGACCAAGTTTGCACACTTGATTAAAATAAAGGCTCTTTGCTTTTACATACAGGACTCTTGGTTTCCTTTGATGGCTTTTGTGGGAATCTCACACATTTGGGCATAACAGGAATCAAACTCAGTGGTCAGGCTTGGTAGCTAGCACTGTTACCCACAGTCACATTGAAGGACCCACGGGTCTACCCCTTCTCTCGGGGTTCATCTTGAGGACAGTTTCTGGCCAGACATCTTGTTGCAATTTCTGGCTAAACATCTTGTTTATTCTTGTGCTCCCTCTGCCCCCCTGGTGGTTAACTACAGGGCCATTGTTTACTCCATTTTGGGTTTGGTAATTTCCCACCTGCCTGAGAGGAATTCCATTGTGTAGCGACTAGGTATTTCAGGTTGTTCCTATACTCGAATAAACAGCACAAACTGTACCTTAGAGAGTAACGCAGGCGTTATACACATCACCAACTCTGCCTTACTTTTTAAAGCTTATTGAAATGTTTTTACAGCCCAACAAACCTCTCCACCAACAGCAATAATCCAAATCAGAACAAATCAAACCAAATTAGAAAAAGCCCAGGTTTAATGGATGCCAGCACTCCCAGGTGGCCTTTCAGGCTCCCCAGGGATAAAAGCAGGAAGGAAGACTGGAAACCACAGAGAGGGGAAGGAGAACCATAAATAACCTGTGGTCTTAGTCTTGACCCTCTCTGGGGAGGGGTCACTGTTTGGCTGGCTTTCTCAGAGTCTGTACTGCAGCAACTCCCAGGGGGAGAAGGCTTAGGGTAGAATTTTCCACTCCATCATTCCAGACCTCTTGGGTATAAGAATGTCAGTGGCTGGGGTGAAGCTTCCATCCAAACACTTATGTCTACTAGAATGTTTAAAAATCCCTATGTGGCTTGCATTTAATTTCTGTTGGCGCTGCTATAGAATTCAGACATTTGCAGCTTTCCTTAAGAGATAATGCTGGCATATTTTATACTAATGGCCAGCTCCACAGTCTTTTAGGCCCGTTAATTTATTTGCATGAATCAGTAGCCTTAGCTATTACTACACAATCTTATACGTGTTCCCACTTCTGGATCTGGGAGAGTACACCCTCATGCCAAACTTGGAGAAGAGAAATCAGAAACCTCCCACCACTTCGAATCATGTGGCCATTGGACAACTGTGTACCATAAGGTCACAATTGGAAACAATGCCTCCAGTTGGGTGTACTGGATTCTTATCCTTGGCTGGTCACACAGCAACACTTCTCTGACCTTATCCAACATGTATGTCTGTAGGGCTAATATTCAAGAATATTGATCCACAACCCTCATTCCACTCTTTTAATGCTTAGTCTGGGAAATTACACAGTCATGTGACTCCAGACTTTCTTATCAGTTGCCACTGAAGAATCTGTCACAGCAAATTACCTTCCACTGAGAAGTCAAGTTACCCATGATGCAGTGTGCTCTGGAGTCTCCTGTGACATTAGAAGCAATGTTCAGTGGAGTTTAGGAGTCTTCCTCATCATCAGAAAAGTCACTGGAACTGCTTGGCAAGGAGCGAGACCTTCCTTTTTTGTTAGGTTTTATGGCTTCAGTGAAGTCTATCTGACATGTCCTAAAGCAGTCTCACTGTACTTAATACATTTGGGAAGCATGCATAGTTGCACAAACATTGCGTGATCTTGTTTTAGGACATTTCTATCATCCCAGAGAAGCCACCTGCTTGTTAGTAGTCGCTCCTCATCCCCTAGCCTTGGCAGTCACTAGTCTACCGTCTGTCTCCATGGAACTGCCATTTCTACACATTCCGTGCAGATCAGTGAGTGCAGGGATAATAACACCTCCATTTCTCATTTCCCCAACAAGGCACTTAGCGAGGATGTCCTGAGCAGTTCTTCTGGACAGGAACCCTGCTAGGTGCTCCGCACTTGTCCTGAGGTGAGCAAAGCAGCCGCACTCCACGGGGAAGGCAAGAAGAGCCAGGTGTGGAGGTATATTCCTGTAAGCCTGGAACTTGGGAGGTGGAGATGGGGGGGGGGGGGAACAGGAGTTCCAGATCATCATCAGCCACATAGCAAGTTCAATGCCAGTCTAGACCACAGGAGACAAGGAAGGAAGGAAGGAAGGGAGGGAGGGAGGGAGGAAGGAAGGAGAGATGGAGGGAGGAAGGGAGGGAGAAAAGAAAAGAAAGGAAGCGCAAAGGAAAGGAAAGGGAAGGGAAGGGAAGGGAAGGGAAAGGAAGGAAGGAAGGGAGGGAGGGAGGGAGGGAGGGAGGGAGGGAGGGAAAAGAAAGGAAGGGAAGCCCAGTGTTTTTGTGGAGCTCTTCCCTGAAGCTCACAGATATCTGAAGAAGTCAGAGGACCTAGGAGACCTCTAGGAGGAAGAACACTCCAAACCAGATATCTGCTCCAGAGAGACCCAGACCCACACTGCGGCCTGAGGCTGATAGACCAGAGCTGCTCCGGCAGCGGTACAGCAAAATGTTTGTGAGGTGGTTCAGAAACGCCAGGGGATGGGATAACCCGGGAAGTGAGCAAACACAGGTCGCAAATGCCCTAAATGGGGTCCCTAGGATGCTTCTGGCAGGCTTTCGGGAGGATTGCTTGTGACGTGGTGACATTACAAACACGCTGGGACAGGGCAAACATGGGAACAGGGAGGGCATCACGTAGAAAGAAGGAGCTCCTACACCAGAACTGGACTGTCATGGGTTCTACTCAACACATATGATACACACAGAGCTTAAGTGAACAGTTTAATGTGTAGAGCTGTGATGTTCACATCTTAAATGGAGCTAGAATGTTCCTGTGGCCGAAGAGTGTCCCCCTCCATTTGTCTTTCCAGTCAGTGCTAAGTCCTGCCCCGTCCTCCCCATATTCTTTTCTGATTTCTGTCACTGTAGATTAGCCTGGGCTTTCTTGGATTTTCTATGAAAAATTCATTGTCAATGAATCCCTTTATGGGCGGTTTCTTTCATTCCATGTGTTTTGAGAGTCACGAGTTACTGGCTGTGCCAGGATCTTATCCTCTGAATATACTGCATGTCGTTGAATGATTCACCAATTCATGGCTAACTGGGTTGCTTTCCGTGTGAGGTCATTGGAATCAAACCTACAATAGTTGCTCATTTCTCTT